TCTGTTCTTTTTTTTTCCACTTATATTTTTCATCCTTTTTTTTTTTTGGTTTATATATATTTGTTTTTTACACATACCAATTTCTTGCTCTCAAGGATCATAAAATACTTTTTACAGTGACAACATGAGGAAGATTAATTCATTATTTATTTCTTATTATATGAAGTTTAATATTTTTTACTACAATAAAACTAATTATTTGCGGCTTCAATTTTACGGCATATATTATATGCATGTTGTAATTAGTACATTTTATGATATTTTTTTTTTTGCAAGCCGTTAATGGTTTTTCAATAACGACATACATACCGTGTAATTCGTTAATTCATATATTTATGACATACAAAAGTATGCCGTAAAAAATATATATTTTCATGATTTAAAAAATATGTCATAAAATATATGCACATAATTACTTTCTACTTCATGGAAAATCTGCTTCATAGTATGCATATGAAAGTTTATAAAGTTCCCCAAAAGTTTCGAAAAGGAGGATGAAAAAGTTGGTTTTTTTATAAAAAGTTTTCGCAAAGACTGCATTTTTCCCTTCCTGTCCTGTTAACATTTGTCTTTTCAATTTACTTCCAACTATTAGAGTAATTGAATAAACATATAGCCGAACAATGTATAACTCACATGTACGTTTTGAAGTAAAAATCTCGCCAGTCAACGACACTCTTCACCTGCAGACATAATCACTCTATGTTAAACTTACAGAGTTACAGAAGGTGCCTGGAAACCAACACCTGGCCAGGCAATTCCAAATAGTATAGACGAGGCTGTTCCAACACCAAAGCTAAGACACCAAGCCTAGTGGCTGGGAAGAAAGGTAACTAAAAGAATGTTGTATTATAAAAAATGCATAACCAATGGCAGCTACTACTTGACACAAAGTAGTCCTACTTTCACCAATTTCCAATGTCAAATTGAATAAAAACCATGAATTAATCAATGGAAATTATTATGTTTGGAAGAATTTGAACATGTGGAGTGATTCAAGGGTGAGCTAGACCATAATATTTTCCAGACAAAAAAGAAAAAGAAAAAAGGGGATAATGCAACAATGTTGTGTGTGTAAAATAATAAAATATGATTATTAGAAAGAGCAAACCACATTGATTACCTCAGTGCTGGACAAACCATGCATTGAGTCAGTGAGTCCATCTCCTGTATTCATAAAATGAAAGAAGGATGATATGAAAGATATATAAGAAAATATGAAAAATGAGAGTTGAAATATGTGACTATAGCAACAACTGCTCTTGAACAGAAGTTATTTCTTGTTCATAAACAACTAGAGTACTTTTTTACACTATTATCTTGGAAGGCTGCATAAGCCTTAGAAATGATAATTACTAATTAGTAATCAAGGTGAAAGAGGAAGCACTTTGTCCAACAAGATTATCTAGTTTGTGCTTTTCTTTTTTTCGTCATAATCTTTCCATTGAAATCTAAATTCAAACAAAAAAGATGATTTCAGAAAAGCAAAAACTTTTAGGAAACATGATGGTTTATCTTCATCTGAAGGGCCAAAGCCCATTCCTTCATGGTGATCAAGTCAATATCTCTATGTTTAATTTTTTCACATTGTTGATTTTACCATTGTCATAAATGGCTATTGTATAAAATCTGTCTTTCTGACTGTATTGTTAACACTAGATTAAAGTTTGTACCTCTGAACCCGTGTCCTGACTCCACCTTGAATTGCAGCTAGGTAGTTTAGCTTCTTCATTTTTCTGTTTCTCCATCAGTTGTGCACCTCTAGCAGCCTTTGCTTCAGCCCCTTTCAAATATTTTGTGGGATTCCCTTCGCTATCATAGTAACGACCCACTAGCTTGCCAACAAATCTAACAATCATCAATCAAGACTGTACAAATGTCAAGCAATTTGCCCATTATTTTTGTATGGATGTCTTCAAATCTTAAGTCCAGCATGATATAAACCAGTATGCAATGCAAGCCTCAAATACTTGCAAGCAAAAAAACTGAAAATGGGAAAGCTTTTAAGGGTATTCAAGATGCATCCATACATACCCGCACAATCTATTTTGGCTAACTGGTTAAAAGCCAGCTTTTTGACTTTTTGATTTTTTTGGGTCACATCTTCTCTCTCTACTTTTTTACACGATTTAAAAAAAAAAAACCAAATAAAGCCAAGGGGGGGAAATGATTGTGCTCAATTTCAAGGTGACATTGGCATATATCATCATATGGGACTAACAAGACCTAGACTCTGTGATTTATCTAACAAACAGTATATATAATTGTTTTGTTTTATAGTGGAGTATTATAGCTAGTGAAAGGGTCAATAATACTATCAAACTCAATACTGTTGGGTGCTTTGTTTGCAAGGTGATCCTGGACAGGCAGGCTATGATGGAGTCTTCAGAGATAAAGTTGGCAGCTGGATATGTGGCTACTATGCAAACTTGGGTAACGGCACTAGGCTTATGGGTTGTTTACAGGGGTCTAACTATCATTTTGCAAAAAGGCTTAAACAAAGTGGATTGAATTTGATTCTGAGATGGTGATCACCCTGATCTGTGAACGAGCCAACTAGAATTTCCCTTGCAGAGATTTGGTGGAGGATTCAAGATTTCTTCTCGGAAGACACAATTGCTCCATTGCCCATTTAAAAGGCAACACGTGTTGATGCTATGATGAATTTAGAGGTGGATCAACCCAAACATCTGGTTGTCCTGAAGAGACCTCCCGAGTCTATTAGTGCTCGCACCTGCCAAACATGCTAGGAGTTTCTTTTGTGAGGAATTATTCCCTCTTGTTCTTGTTTCTTTCTGATTTCTTTTTCTATTTTTGTATCTAGAAAGAAAATAGCAAATGGTTTTGAGGATTCAATTGTCAAGGAGCATTGTTCAAAACTTGTAAAAGAAAAAGAAAGTTTTATTTGAACAGGATTAATGGAATGAGGATAAGGATTTTGCCTCAATATAAATTGCAATCTTTGGAGAATTTTATGCATTGCTGAGTTTGTTGGTACCAAAAAGTTTGTAACGTCAAATTTCTTGATATTGAACCCATGATGTGCATCCTCAAAAGTGGCTGTGATTGAATTTATGACTAAAAATTAGTTGGATTATGACACAATGTGATTGATGATCATATTGAATTGGGCGAACCATATTGTGTCATCATATTGAATCATACTTTTTGAGAACAATTTGCCCCAACAAAAGAAGGATAGTCTGAAAAGACTCATAATATGAAGAGAGTAATCCGTGACGAGCAACTCTATCAATAAACAGAAACAATCTAGTAGTGACGAGCAACTCTATCAATAAACAGAAACAATCTAGTAGTGCTTTTTTATCATGAGTTATTTAAACATCAAAATCTATTAAAAAAAGATAATCTAAAACTAGTAACCAAAAGAAATAAAACAAACAGAAACAATCTTGTAGTGCTTTTATCATGAGTTACATAAATATAAATATTTCAAACCATATCATCGCTTCTATTAGCCTTTTTCCTCCTGCTTCGTCATATACTTCTACTTGTGTATTACTAACTCTCCCTTTCCCTTCATGAAATCAACTAATTATTTACGAACAACAATTTCGCACTGCCTAAAGTCGACATAGCTTTGCAAAATGATCACATCCACTGTAGACTTCCAATCCGGGCTGGTTTAGTTCCTCTTCATTGAAGCAAGCACAGCGCTTGCTCACTTTCCCAGTTATAGCCATTTCTAGTGGTTTTTGAATTAACCTTGGATAACCATTATCGCACCAAACCTGACCAAAATAGTTGTTAGCTAAGAAACAACTCAACAATATAGAAGCTTGCCAAATTCATGGTGAGTTGGAATTATCTACTAGTTTATGCGTAAGTTTTTGAAAACCTTATAAAATGGATTCATGACTCAATACCCACCATGGATTGGCAGTGGCATACAAACTTTCACAACAGTAACTCCAAAAACACAAATTCGATGCAAGTTCTACTACAGTGGACAAGGCAACGCTAGAAAGAATTTCGGAGAAAAGTAGAAAACCCGCACTGTCCTCCACAAGTGATTAATGACCAGACTGTATTGTTAACACTAGATTAAAGTTTGTACCTCTGAACCCGTGTCCTGACTCCACCTTGAATTGCAGCTAGGTAGTTTAGCTTCTTCATTTTTCTGTTTCTCCATCAGTTGTGCACCTCTAGCAGCCTTTGCTTCAGCCCCTTTCAAATATTTTGTGGGATTCCCTTCGCTATCATAGTAACGACCCACTAGCTTGCCAACAAATCTAACAATCATCAATCAAGACTGTACAAATGTCAAGCAATTTGCCCATTATTGAAAATTTGAAACGTTACTTTTGTATGGATGTCTTCAAATCTTAAGTCCAGCATGATATAAACCAGTATGCAATGCAAGCCTCAAATACTTGTAAGCAAAAAAACTGAAAATGGGAAAACTTTTAAGGGAATTCAAGATGCATCCATACATACCCGCACAATCTATTTTGGCAAATTGGTTAAAAGCAAGTTTTTTGACTTTTTGATTTTTTTGGGTCACATCTTCTCTCTCTACTTTTTTACACGATTTTAAAACAAAAAAAAAACCAAAATAAGCCAAAAAGCCAGTTTTTAACCAACTTTCCAAAGGCCCATCGGTGACCCAATGCACAAGATTCCCGCTAAAGCACGGGGTATGGGGTAATGACACCATATAAGAAAAAAAATGATACAACTCCAACAATCAACTACTAACATTTGAATATGTGTTTTGTCATCATATTTAAGATGCACATTTATTTTCATGATTGATGACTCTTAAGGCTCCGTTTGGATAGATGGATTTCAAATGAAAGGATTTAAGGTTTTATTTCATAAAAATACAGGAGAGTTGTTTATTATAGGTAGATTGAAAAATTAAAGGGCAAGATAGAGTTAGAAGAGAGGTACTTTTTCTTTTTTGTTTTTTGAAACTAGAATCCTTAGTGAAAAATATGTCATAAAATATATGCACATTATTACTTTCTACTTCATGGAAAATCTGCTTCATAGTACGCATATGAAAGTTTATAAAGTTCCCCAAAAGTTTCGAAAAGGAGGATGAAAAAGTTGGTTTTTTTATAAAAAGTTTTCGCAAAGACTGCATTTTTCCCTTCCTGTCCTGTTAACATTTGTCTTTTCAATTTACTTCCAACTATTAGAGTAATTGAATAAACATATAGCCGAAAAATGTGTAACTCACATGTACGTTTTGAAGTAAAAATCTCGCCAGTCAACGACACTCTTCACCTGCAGACATAATCACTCTATGTTAAACTTTCAGAATTACAGAAGGTGCCTGGAAACTAACACTTGGCCAGGCAATTCCAAATAGTATAGACGAGGCTGTTCCAACACCAAAGCTAAGACACCAAGCCTAGTGGCTGGGAAGAAAGGTAACTAAAAGAATGTTATATTATAAAAAGTGCATAAGCAATGGCAGCTACTACTTGACACAAAGTAGTCCTACTTTCACCAATTTCCAAAGTCAAATTGAATAAAAACATGAATTAATCAATGGAAATTATTATGTTTGGAAGAATTTGAACATGTGGAGTGATTCAAGGGTGAGCTAGACCATAATATTTTCCAGACAAAAAAGAAAAAGAAAAAAGGGGATAATGCAACAATGTTGTGTGTGTAAAATAATAAAATATGATTATTAGAAATAGCAAACCACATTGATTACCTCAGTGCTGGACAAACCATGCATTGAGTCAGTGAGTCCATCTCCTGTATTCATAAAATGAAAGAAGGATGATATGAAAGATAAGAAAGTGTTGAAATAGGTAAATATAAGAAAATATGAAAAATGAGAGTTGAAATATGTGACTATAGCAACAACTGCTCTTGAACAGAAGTTATTTCTTGTTCATAAACAACTAGAGTACTTTTTTACACTATTATCTTGGAAGGCTGCATAAGCCTTAGAAATGAAAATTACTAATTAGTAATCAAGGTGAAAGAGGAAGCACTTTGTCCAACAAGATTATCTAGTTTGTGCTTTTCTTTTTTTCGTCATAATCTTTCCATTGAAACCTAAATTCAAACAAAAAAGATGATTTCAGAAAAGCAAAGACTTTTAGGAAACATGATGGTTTATCTTCATCTGAAGGGCCAAAGCCCATTCCTTCATGGTGATCAAGTCAATATCTCTATGTTTAATTTTTTCACTTTGTTGATTTTACCATTGTCATAAATGGCTATTGTATAAAATCTGTCTTTCTCAAAGAACTTTATGTTTTTTTTACATGTATACCTTCTATACTTCGTATCAGAGTTGAAGAACTCAAAACAATTTCCATACACCTTTATACAGTTTCACACTGTATGTCTCAAAGATAGACTCAAGTTTCTGTATTACATATTAAAAACCTTTTCTCCTTTTCATCCCTCCACTTTGTTCTTTCAATCCTCTTGAGAATTTTTTTGATTCTTATTCCCTTCATTTTTTATTTTCTCTTTTATGTATTTATTTATTATTTTTAAAAACCATTTCTATTTATTTATTTATCATCTAGATTGAGGGAAGACATGGAAACTAGACATAAGAAATAGCACCGCACAGGATATTTATATTGGGATAAAACTTGAAATTTCCATGAATTCATCATTAGAAGCAAAGAAATAAATAAACACTCAACCAATTTTACCTGTAAAATTCCCTGAGACAAATGCGCGAGAAGCATCTCTGGGATCATCAAAATTTTTAAAGTCTTCAGGATACGAGTAAGACATGAATCCAATAAAGCAAAGAAGAAACAAGCAATTGGCATTTTAAGTTAGCTAGTGGTTTGATCTTAACCAAGTAATATAGATGGACAAAGGAGTCTTTTCTGAGAAGACAAAGAAAGACAGACATCAAACCAACAAAGAATAAAGCAACTCAATGACGTAATAGAAAATGCCCCAATAACTACTGCAAAGTGTTGGCAGCATGTTTTAGTAAGAACTCAACTCATTGGTTCTTTTATAATAAAACAACTACACTAAAGAGAATGGAAGATACCAAAGGGAAAGGGCAAGAAGTCCTTCAAAGATCACATTGAGCACACAAATTTTTTTCTTTAATTCATTCACTATTGAATGTGGTATTATTAAAACTCAGTTGATGAATTAGCTTGGTTGTTGGGGTCAAGGGTTCAAATCTTTGCAGAGTCAGACTGTTTATGTCTCCACATTACAGCAAATCACTAACATGCATTTTTTCGACCATTATGATTTGTCCATAAAAATGATCACTAAGACATTGTGCAGCACTTTTCCCTCCACGGAATTATACACTCTAACAACGATCAAAAAGGGTATGACATAGACTTATGGTCACATATTAATGGTACAACATAATTATTTACTTATAGGCCAAGTCTATGTCATGAAACAACATCCGAGGACGTTTGATAATGTATATCATGTAATGAAACGACTGAAACAGAAGAACCAAAAACATAGAAATAAAAGCACAAACCTTCCAGCAAAATGATTGTAACCCCCTCCTGCTCCATAATGACTTTTTCCCTTTGTTACATCAAAGACAGAGCTGATCATTTCATCGCCACAAAAAATAAACAAATAAATAAATAATGTAAATTAAGATTGACTAAGATTCAGATCACACAGAGCACACAGAAACTAAGATAAGTTAATTTCAATTTTATCCCCTAACCTATTGCCATTTTTTTAAAAAAATTTCATCGTTAAACTATTAATTTCTCATCTCTTTTGTCCCTAAAGTTTCTTAGTTTAACCAATATAGTCCAATTGAAAACTATTGTCCAAATCACTAGCTGTTAAAACTAAATATAATGGATGAAAAAGGCCATTTCAAAATTTGAAAAACTTAAACCAAAACAACCAAATACTTTTTGAAACGAAGTGTGGAGAAGAAGATTAGTTTTTGATTGTATGATTTAGGTCATCTAAATGTCAAATTATCATTTTATCCATTAGGCTAGGTTTTCACCATTACAGATTCAGAAATTCTAGGGACTAAAAAGATGAAATTGATAGTTTAGAAATGAAATTAAAAAAAGAAAAGAAAAAAGAAGACAATAGTTTAGTTGGATAAAAGTGAAATTAACCCAACTATATAATTAAACATTATATATACACTATGCTTGATTGCCTGCATTTAGAGAGAGAGAGAGAGTACCCAAGAATTGCTAAAAAGATGGGCAACCCATCATCAGTGCCATTGTAGATAGCCAATTGTTGTGCAGTAAACAGTCTCTAAAGACATTCACAATGCAAAAAAGATAAAAAAGAAAATATAAAAAAAAAAAATACAGGGTACAGTGAATAATTGAATGGTACAATGAAATCAAAATTAAATTAACAAAACGGGCGGTTGAAAGAAGACTGAAAATGAGAGAGCTGGTAACAAACCGATGGTGGAGGAGGAGGAGGTGGTGAATTGAGAGGGAAGAATCTGACGAGGAGGAGAGATATCAGAAGGAGAGAGAGCGACGCTGCGATACCCAGAAAAGGGGGCGAAGCCATTAATGGAAGATCAGCCTCTCCGATTGTTGGTGAAGTCGGAGTCGCCCCGTCTTTTTGCCTCTGTTGGAGTGGGTAGGGGTTTGGGTCGGGTTTAACCGGGAAATGGTACGGGAAATGGTATAGATAACTTGGAGTACATCTCCAGACTTGACCAGCATTGATATTGGTAGAAAGTACAAAAAGTGAAACAAGTAATGTATAGTTATAAAGATAAATATAGTACAATACACATTTGGGTAAATTATAGTTACAACTCCTGAAATTTAGATTTAATACATATTATTTTTAACGTGTGAAAAATTATACTAACTCATGTCATTATAATTATTTAGACAGAATGAAAATATTGAACTTATGCACTCTCTCTTTTCTTACTTTGCTTTACTTCTTTTGTTTTTTTTTTTTCTTCCTTTTTTTTACTTTATTTTTTTTCCCCAATGTAATTTCATCTATTTTTTTACTAGGAGTTATTACCTTATATATAAGTAGAGGGATTTGTGAAATGAGACTATTAATCACAGGAATGAGAATGTAACTTCCAGAATGTTAGAGAGTGAAATGTAATTGGATCAAATCTCAAAGGGTGTCAATGTAATTTACCCTACACATTTTTAGTAAAACATATATATTTTATCCATATGACTAAGTAAATTATTGATAAAAATGAGATTCTTATATAAATTAAAACTTAAAGGTCATGTTTGATTTACAAGACTAATAGTGAAGTATTAATAATCCTATTAAATTAGTGTAATATTCACTATACAATTGGATTAATATCCATTGGATTAATAATCTCACCCCTACCCCATTACTAATAATCCTACAAATTTGTTAGATTAATTATCCATTGGATTAATAATCCTAAACCAAAATGTTAAAACAAACATAAGATAATTGGGCCCACGAATTAATAATCTCAATCCCATACTCTAATCTACCCAATCAAACATTCACAAGATTAATAGTGAAGTATTAATAATTCTATTAAATTAGTGTGGTATTCACTATCCAATTGGATTAATATCCATTCGATTAATAATCTCACCCCTACCCCATTACTAATAATCCTACAAATTTGTTGAATTAATTATCTATTGGATTAATAATCCTAAACCAAAATGTTAAAATAAATATAGAATAATTGAGCCCACAGATTAATAATCTTAATCTCATACTCTAATCCACCTAATTAAACATGCACAAAGAGTTTAATTATATTAAACTTATGAAACTTACGATATTTTCTTCAAAGTTCAAATGAGAAGTTGGTCTAATTTATCATTTTATTTTGTGCGTATATTACAATATTGAAAATTGCATTGACCTCCAATGTTTGAAAATAGATCCGGTTGGCTCTCTGTTTCAATTAAGTTTACTTTTACACATGAACTTCGTATTCAGAATTTTACTTAAGCCCCATAGACAAGTGTTTATTTTAGCCTAAAAGTCAAAAAGGTATTAAAAAAATCAAAAAATTTATATCAAAAAGTTAAAGATTCTCTTTTCTCTTTATTTTTTGCACATCTTTTCATAAAAAATTACAACATTAATTCAAATATATTAATTTTTTTTATACCATATTTTAACCAAAAAGTCAAAAAATTACTAAAATAAGATGTTCCCAAACAAGGCCTTAATAAGCAAACATTTATTCCTTCACGGACCAACAAAACAAAAAGAAGAAGGCATAGTTCTTTATTCGATCAAAATCAAATTGCAAAAATTTTCAATTCAAAATAGACGAAATTTGTTCATTTGCATCCCTAAATAGGATCATGGACTGCACAAATGGTTTCAGGATGACAGAAAAGTAGACCTCAATTTTTCTCATAGTTTCTACTCTCATCTCATCTATTTTTGAATTTTAAGATATACTAGTGATCACCCATAATAGTGTTACATAAAGGGCTCTGGACAAGCCTTCCAATCAACCTCCTCAAAGATGGAATTGCTGTAGCTAACAAAGCAATAATGTTTCTACTGTGTCGTCATATTATCTTAGGCCTCGTTTGGAGACTAGCTAGTTTAGTTAAAAAATTACTAAAAAAGTCAAAAAACCAACAATCTATATCAAAAGTCAAAGATTCTCTTTTCCCTTTATTTTTTACATATTTTTTCGTAAAAAGTCAAAAAGTCATCCTAAATATACCAATTTTTTTTAGCTCATATTTTAACTAAATAGTCAAAAAGTTATTAAATTAACCTGTTCCCAAACGGGGCCTTAGTACCCCTCCCTTGTAAAGTCAACTTCTCTAGCATTTAAGTTATCAGAATGTGTGTTTTTTCACTTAAAAATTGCAATAATAGGTTAGTTATGAACAACTCTTCAGTATTTCATACTTTCCCAGGCCAGGAAATAAAAGGCGAAATCAAAACAATTTTCAGGTACTTCAATCATGTCAATTGCTACAAAACCACAAGAATAAAGACAACTCAGCACTATAGAAACTAGCCATAAAATCTGTAGCACCGAGAGGCCGTGCACTGACACAGTGGAGTCAGAGAATACAACAGCTGACTGAAAACTCTTCCCACTAGCCTCTGATCAGCCCAAAAACATTCTACCAGCAATACAGCCCATCTCACAGCCACTTTAGAACTTGCAGCTATTGTGTTGCAATTGAGATTTTAAAGATTGGCAGCACCAACCATCATAAAACAGAAATGTAAACATATATTAGAACAATTGTAGTAGGAGACAAATAATAGTCTTTAATAACACACACAAAAAGACAAACCTGTGAAGATGAGCAGAAATGAATAACTACAATAAATGACAAACATTTCTACTAGTAAAAAAGCTACTGATTTATATCCACAACTTGGGAGATTTTGGAACTTTGTTCTGTATACTTATTCCATCAAAAGGTTTTTGATACATTTCAAATTTGACAATTCTTAAGTAGTACAAGCCTTTCTGTCAGAGATCATTCAAGTTCTAAAATGAACATCAATAATTTACAACAAAGACAGCTAAAAGAAGTTCAGCTAACAAAGATTATTTCTCCAATAATGATAAATGATAATGGCCATTGAACTCCAAAAATCATGTATGACATGAAACACTTCAAAACTATTCACATTTGCCGCTAGTCCCTGTTATAAGAGATAGCTAATCCATAAACATGTTCTGGTGAATGATTGCAACTCTTAGTTTCGGAATCTTAATCCAAGTGAGATGAATCAGTCCAATGGTTCTACCGTGGGAGAAAATTTTGAAAATCTTTGATTGTATAATATAAAAAAGTATGTAGACTTTAAGAAATATGAATTACATGTTTAGTCAAAGGTTTAAAACTTGAAGACATTTTTGTTTAACATGTTTATGAGTTGATTGCCCCCGAGGTTAATCAATTCATTGCTGCGAACTAAACTCTATTTATTAATTTTTTTTCCCTTTGTTTGTGAGTGTACAAATATAACAAACCAAACATGAACGTGATATTTAGAGCATAGCATGTTACGAAGAATTTCTAAAAAATTTACAATGAACAGATGCTTCCGGAGTATAGAAACACATTTTCTTTCAGGGTAAGTTAACCCTTGCACTTTTACCAAAATCTCATTTTGGTCACTTCACTTTCAATTGTAACAGCCAACCCCTTACACTTTCAAGTTCCAATTTCACCCTTCTACCCATCTACTGTTAATAAAGCTAAGGAAATTGAAAGCGGAGGGGTTAAATTGAGATTTTCGTGAAAGTGAGAGGACTCAAGTGAGATTTTAATAGAAGTGCAAGGGTGCTAATGAGACAATTCAAATGACAAATTTCATCAATTTTATTAATAGTAGATGGATGAAAGGGTGAGACTGTAACTTGACTTAAAATGTAAAGGGTTGACTGTTATAATTGAAAGTGAATGGACTAAAGTAAGATTTTTGGTGAAAGTGTGGGGGTACTAAGTGTAATTTAACCTTTGTTGTTTAATATCATTCTACTACTAATTTGACCAACTAGCAAACCAACCACTGCAAGAAAATCGGGAATTAGCGGCGTTTATAAAACGCCGCTATAGGTTAGAAAAACGCCGCAAAAAGATAAAACGACGTTTATAATAATTCGTTGATGATGCGGCCGTCGTTGTATCTTGTGACGTTTGAAAAACGCCGCTAAAGACTTTAGAAGACGTTTTCTAAAACGCCGCTAATTATTCACAGCCGTTAACTATGCACGTTAAAGGAGTTATCTCTCACGTCATAATGACGACATTTCGCGACGTTTTAAAGAAAAACGCCACCATTTCTTTCATATTTTGAAAAAAAAATGAAGAATCATAATTAATGATCTTTTAACTTTTGTTCAAACCAAACCTATATAATCCATCACCATTCTCAAAATATATACCATAATGTGAATGAGCATTCATTTTTCAATTTTCCATAAAATAAATAAATAAATAAATACAACCCCTTTAAATACAATATGACAATACAAAATCATAAAAATAATAATATTCAGTGCGCTCTCCAAATTCTCTGAAAATAACTTCATCCACAGCTCTCTTCAGCTTCATCAAGTCATCAATCATCTTCACCAAAATGACGATTATATACCTGAATCATCCAATTCCATTAACACAACTTCAATAAACTTGAATGGTTGAAAAATCTACATACTCTTGCATACCATGTCAAAAAGGCTAGAAAGATAAGAAATTATGAAATTTGCAAGTGCATGTACAATGAAATTTTTTTTATTTATATGTGTACTTTGAAGTTGCAAAATGGGACTAAAAGTGTACTGTTAAGAATTCAATCCAGATCCTCTTCAGCTTTAGTCTCCATGCATGCAGACAAATGATACTTTTTATGTACACTAAGAACCATGAAAAGAATTCCCACTCACAGAAATCAAGAATTCGATATATAATATTGAGTCTACGAAGAATGTACCCTCTGGATGCTGCTGCAGAAACAAAAATTGGTTCCACAGGGCTGCATTTTAGATCCAAGACACTGCAGTACACCAAATGCATGAAGATAAGCAGAAAGCAGAAAGTTAATCACTAAACTTTTTTTTGAGCAGGTCCAAATTATCCAATCATAACCTTGGAAATGCTTCAGTTGTGCTGAGAACGCAAACAACTCTCTTTGCATCAACATTCCATGCTTTAATGCCTCCATCAACAGTGCCTATGAGAAGCTTTTGGCCACCCAAAAAAAATAAGTTTAAATTACAACCATGAATTTCAGGTTTTAGACAATCAAACATCATTCCCCAACATGAAAATGAATAAACATGTTCATATGATGTTGAATTACATACCAAACGGTCTGATTTACAATCCCACTCAAGTGACATGATCTCTGCTCCACAGTAGATGGTCGCATTTCTTGATGCTGGAGTTGATGGGTCATATGTCCATATCCTTTATCATAACAAACAGAACACGTAAGGCAATTGTGGCCACAACATGAACTAAACCTTATACAAGGCCTCATCTAGTATGCGTCCAATAAATGCACCACCTCTAAGGTTTGATGGAATCAAAATGAACTACATTTTAGTACACATCTGTTCCAACCACATTAATTTCAATTGTCAATGCAATAAAAATAAAAAATAAACAAACAAATGACCCAGAGAAGCTTCTGAAATTCTGATCAAAGAGTGATATTATGAAAATTCGTTTAACTACCCAGCCAAGTGCAGAACACTTGGAGGCTAACACCTAAAATGTATGGTGTCCAGGTCAATAAATATGAGCAGATTGAAGGAACAAGTTAATAGTAAGGGCACTATTTCTTTCTTTAGAAAATACAACTAGTTTATTAGCCTCCCACATTACTCTGTTGGTATAGGTAATCTCAGCATGTTAACAGCTTTCATCATAAATACCTGACAGTACCATCCACAGAAGCACTGGCAATATTGTTTCCTGATGCAGAAAAGCGGCACCGACTGATTGGACTTGTGTGGCATAAAAATGTCTCCTATATTATGTTATAGAAAGTTACACAGACATCAAACATAAATGAACAAACAAATGCAGTAAATAAACAAGACAAATATGGACAAGGGGAGAACGAATTTCAGTAGCAAAATTTTAGTGAGTAACACCAAAAGTCATAAATGGTGTGATAAGCCATATAACCTGAAAATCTACTTTCACTTCCGAAAATTCTTCTTCTCCAGCCATTTCTCTGCCAGTTTCTGCAACAACACAATCAATATTTATTTTCAACAGTTATCTAGGAGAATTAACATGAAGCTATTGTCCTTATTAGTAGAATAGAAAATTTCCCTATTTTTGTTCAGAAGAAAATCATCTGTGAAGCACAATAATGCTATGTTGCAGAAGACATGTCCAGTGCTTGCACAAGTCAAGCAAGCACTGGATGCTTTCCAATATAATTTTTAAAAAGGAAAAAAAAATCCTATAACTAATAAAGAATTGAGTAGTAGTATATGTTAAAAACATGTATATGGAACTCTTTCTGATGAAAAGAGCTTTTTAGGATTTGCCTTCCAAGTAATGCAATTGTTAATATGGAAACTAGAACAAATCAATCAATTATATATTGGTCTCTTGCGAAATAGAAATATGTATACAAATAGAACTTAAATTCTAAATATTGAGGTGTTTTCCCCATGCCCACCTGTTCAAAATTGCTGTGTCCATATCCCGTAAAGTGTTGTGTTTATGTCATGTCTGCGTATCCTTGTGACAAATGAGCACTAAGCTATCGCTCGTTTTTATTCATATATAAATGAGAGAATGAATGCAATCATGACTTTACCAATATAAAAGTCATCCCGAAACATTTCAAGGGTATCACTTGACCCACTCTCTCTCAAAATCCAACCAAAAGAATCACAACATAAAGCTAGGAAGAGGTCCAAGAGGCCAAGAAACTCTAGAACATATTAGAAATACCAATTATAAATAATTTCTTCAGCAACATAAACAAAGCTTATATGAATAACAGTGCAAACAATTGTGTCATCATATAAATTAGCCAAATTTGCCAGTACCAAACTTACAGCCATGGATTGGTAAACATCATAGGGTACAAGATGAAATTGACAAACCAATAAATGGTTCAGCATCTAAAAACAAAACACAGAGATTCATAGAATTTCTCTAGACTCAGAAAAGTGAGAAAGGGCAATTTTACCATTCTGTTTCTATTTATGTAACATGACAGTCTCCCAACTTCATCTTCCTCCCTCCTACTCTATATGTCTCCTATCTCATACCACTCACTCTTTGTACAAAATCTTTAAATGGTCACTCTACCACCACACCTCCAAATGCCAACAAACAGAAAGGGAAAAAATAAATTAGCCACTAGGCTCTATTATGCATGACCAAGTGTTAAAGTTACAAATAATATTTCTAACTGTTTTTCCAATAGCCCATACAATATGCCAATACCAAGGATATATTTGTCCACCATTACTCAAGTTACCATGACTCCCTCAGCATCTTGCTCTCTGGCAAGGTCTTGAAGAAACCAGGTGGCACTTCTATTGTCGGCAACTTCAAGTTTCAGATCTAAAAGTTCAAATATCAAACTCTCATCACGCACAGGGTCCGCAAAAACCTCCTTCAAACAAGCAATGAATTATTACAACACGAAGTCAGTCAACAATTGAGATCCAAAAAGAGTGATAATGAAACTGAAACAGACACAGCATCATATGAAGGAAACAAATTGGAGAACTATTAAAAGAAAAATGCATCAATAACCTGATGATCAGGGACTTGTCGAATGTTGCACACATCCTGCAAGTCCAGCAAAAGTTCATCAGTCAATGGCCTTGTCTAGTGTTCAAATATTAATGAACCCTTAAATATGTATACATAGATATAAGAACTAACCTGAAATCGAAAAGGGAATGTGCTGGCTATTGCGCCACCAAACAAGGGACACTCGGCATGGTAATCTTCTGCCTTTTTTAGCAATGTTTAGACCCAATAGCGCACTTTTCCAAACTAGAATCAAAACAAAACACCCATCAAAACCAATTACACATTTGTGCACTCAAGACATTTACGAAAGTCATACTTGTTTTGTGTTGCACAAAGTCAGACAAATCGAAACGTTAATTTCTAAAATTTTGGTGAATTGAAAGTACTTACTTGTGAAGTGTAGAAAGCGGAGCAAATAGTGGGGGCAAAGAAGAAATCAAAGTTCCCAATTTTACTTTATTTTTAACTGTCAGATTTTAATTAGGAACCAACAAACATTTCAATTCGACACAACGTCAAGTTGAGACATGTCAAGTGGAATTCACGTGTAAGCTTTGTGTTTTGATTAGTATAGATGTTTGTTGGTATATTTGTTAGTATCTAAGGCTGGCTCTAAGTTCTTGGGGGCCTTAGGTGAACTGTCTTAACCTGGACCCTTTATTCATAATCACAAAAACAAAAACAAAAACCAAAAAAACCTTTGTGGGTAAAATGAAAAGTACCTACAATTTTATTTTTCATTAACATGATTTCATTATCAACTGAATCTGAGCTCTTTCTTTGTTTCTTGCCACTAAAAAAATTACCAAGAACTCCCACTTAAGATTGAATTAATTTTTTTTCTTTTTTTCATATCATGAACTATGCTTTCAAGGAAACATGATTCTATATAATCAATCCAAATTGAAGATAAATTTAACCCATAGATATTATCTGAAATTTAATAGGAATTCAACCCAAAATCCAAACTATATAAACACACATATGTAGTGAGACCATTGAATAAAGAGAAGAACAGAGAAAAAGAAAGAGAAAAACTGTAAAAATATATGTATTGATAATTGATATTATTGATTGATGTCTTACAAGATGTTGTTTACAATTCCTATACAATCTATATATAGAAGAAAATGTGGTAGTGGGTGTAGTGGAGGTGATAGTGGGTTAGGTGAAGTGGAGTGTGTGGTGAAGTGGAGGTAGGTGAAGTGGAGTGTGTAGTGGAGTAGGTGAAGGTAAAGATGGGAAATTCTAACAAAAACATTGAAAATTTCTTAGCTGCCTATTTGTGGAACAAACAAGAAAATCTATTTGAATCAAATACAACTGTAGATCAAAACTATTGAAGCCGAATTTATCCAAAAAAAAAAAAAACTATTGAAGCCGAATACCTGAGAACTGAAAAATATAAAACAACCATACCTGAGAGAAACATAACCCTAGATCAGATCCAAATCATCCAAACCAAGCTCGAGCCATCGTTTATGGAAGAGATGAGAACCTAGATCGCCGATGAAAATCAAAACCTAAGCAAGAGTTTATTTAAATGGAACACAGATCCAGATCGTTACTTTGTCGTGATGAAAATCTCTGAATCTTGAGTTCACTCATAGTAAGTCTAGATCAAACTCGATGAATAACAAGCCCTATAATGAAAATCAAAACCCTAATCAAATGTAAATACAATAATTTTCAATAATAAATTTGAACATATATGAAAAATAGTAAATAAATACAAGATTGCTACCATGAAAGCTCTGTATCTCAAGTGAACTCAGCAACTCCAAATCACGAGCGATTGGATACCTGAATCCATAAAAAACGAAAACCTAGATCTGTAAAGATTAAGGGAAATCGAAAAATCTCGAAGGGAAACCGAAAAATCTCGAAGGAAAATATTAAATCCTAAGACCTAGTGCACAAATCGAAATCGAGATCCAGATTGAACAAGAAATCGTTGAGATTAGAAGCATTAATCTCTCTGTAGATCTATAAACTCGAGGAAGTCTTCATTGCTGTTGCATCCACGGCTCCTTAACCAGGGCCAGTGAGAGAGAACCATTTTAGAGAGAGAGAGTGATAGAGCCACTTGGAAATGTTTGAATGAAAAGATATGGGTTAAGTCTCTGTGAAGTTAAACAGACTTGCCTCATTGAGACAATCAAAGGGCATCCTATTAATTACTCTTTGAAAAGCGTGCCTGTCATTGAGATATGTCACAACGTTTTTAAAAGCATCTTGATGGAAGCGCCACCGTAAGCAATTTTTTTTGTAGTGAACTAGCAGATATGGAAGAATCATTTTAAGAAACACACAGAAAGATATATTGGATTTAATAAAAGAGTGTCAATATTTCTATTCAAATAATCAAAGAATCAATGAAATCTCCACATTAAATCTGATGTGTAGCACGCATGCTATAGTTAACAAGCATATCATAAAACATTAGAATGAGTAAAAGAGAATTTACCTTGATCTATATGGAATGTCCACATGTTTTCTGCACATTCCTTTCCATTTTGATCTGATATCCGTTTCCTCACTTCACTCCCACATGATCAAAGAATAGATTCCATGTTTACTATTCTGTTTGCTGCAAGAGCTGGTTATTTTACATCAACTTTTGGAATGTGTACTATCTTATGCCAATCTTCCCCCTCTCCCTTTTGACGTCGCCTTTTCAATTCAGGACCGCAAAAAAAAAAGTCCAAATTTTGGAGTTTGGATAGGCTTTGAAAGCTATGTGGCAGTGATGAAATCTTGCAGCAGAACTCAATGTGCAATGATTGAAGTGATGTAAGGTTTCCTAACCATTCAGGCAGTGATGTGAACTCTGGATACTGAGAGATGGATAGAGATTGCAGTAGGGGGATATGTTGCAATGACTCTGGCAAAGTCTTCAACTTTTCACAACGAACATCAAACGGTTGGGAGTATTTGGGCGTACCTTTAATGATTAGGTGTCGTAGGGAAATAAGATGTTTAATGCTCTCTGGCAAAGTCACTAGCTCCGGACACCCATAAACTTCCAATTTCTCCAGGGCAGTGAGGTGTCCCAAACTCTCCGATAAAGAACTCAAATTATTGCAGCGATTAATCTCCAGATGTTGGAGAGACTTTAAGCTTCGTAGCCCATGTTCTGGCAAAGACTCAAGCCCATGACACGAATGGATACACAATGACTTCAAAGATACAAGGCTTTCCAGGTTTGTAGGCAGCACTTTCAATTTGCTAAACCTTTCAATGTATAGAGATTCAAGAGCATTTAGGTTTTGAAACATCTCTTCTGGAAAAGAAATCACCTTGTCGTCGTGACAAACTGTAAGTGAAGTGAGACAAATAAGATTTGAGATTGAACTTAGCGTCACGTTGCTGCATCTTGAGACATACAAATTTTCAGGTGATGAAAGATGAGGCAAGGTCAATTTAGGGCAATTCTTGATGCTTATTTTGTGAAGACGAGGGAGTAGCTCTCTTCCCTCCTCCCTTGACAACCCTTTCAAATTCGGCAAATCCACAATACTGAGGTCTTCCAAAGACGGGAATCTTCTAACCGGGCCTTCGCCAGGGAAGTCATTATCAATGTACTCCACATAATCCATTCTATGTATCATAAGTTTTTGCAAGGAAGCCAACTGCCCGAACGCTGGAAGTATTAGCAATTTTCTACAATCAAGTAATGCAATAGAAACCATATTTGTAAGAATTGAATCCCCCATCCAAAGTGGGAAGTGGGCACCTCTGTATTTGTCAATGATCAACTCTTCAACATTTGGGTGAGGTTCCAGGGCTTCAAGTATTTGTTCAATGTTTGCTTGCGATTCAGATTCACTGTTATCTCCCCACGACAACTTGATGATGCGAAGATTCTGTTTTCCTATCAAATTGGCTTCTTTAGCATCTGTTGGGTTTCTCACTCTCTCAAGGTGCAAGATATGCAGTTCTCCTCCAAGATCTAAGCATTGCAATTCAGCAGCCCGACAACCTCTACTCTTACCCACAACAAAAAGACTTAATCTCTTCAGGAGAGTTAGCTGCCCAAGCTTTGGAGGCATGTCCTGTATTTTCCAACAATATTTTAAATAAAGATTTCGGAGGCTCCTTAGGTACTTCATGTTCTTGGGCAGACTCTGAAGCTCATAACAATGATTTAGGTTTAAAGTTTGCAAATTGTGGAGGCTACAAATTGACTTTGGAAGTGTTAGAATGGAAGTATAAGAAAGGTTCAAGTATCTTAGATGTTTTGAATTGCCAATAGAAGATGATGATTGCACCATGTTAATGGCATTTGCATTGAACACTCGTAGAGAACCAAAATTTTTAAAGTCAGAAGAAAAAGGTACAATACCATCACATCTCATGTTTAGAATTGGATGTCTGCATTGTTGAAAAATTGTTCGTAAGGATTCAACTCCATGCAATGCTTCAGGAAAAACACCTGTCTTCATCGACTCACTAACCAATGTAATATGATGAATTCTTTGCTTTGATATATTACTTGAGCTTTTATCCTCCATCACATGACATTCATGTTCCGTAACAGATTGGGCAAGGTCATGCATAAGATCATGCATTTTGCAAGTAATGGTGTTAACTTGATCTTTGTTCAAATCTTGAAAGAAAGATCTCCAGTGTAACTCATTCCATATAACGTTTCCAATATCTTCCAACTCCAATTGTCCATTGGACGAAATAAAGCCATTAGCCATCGAAAGATCAATTAAATTTTCCTTTTCAATTCTAGAGCCCTTTAGAAAAATGGCACAATAAGCAAAACATTGTCTCAATTCCAATGGAGGATTGTAGTAACTTAATCTCAAGGCAGGCAATATGGTATTTTCCTTGTGGTGCAAGTTCCAAATTTCACTTTCCTTAACAGAAAGCCATTCTTTTTCCTCACTTTTGAAGCGCATTAGCCCTCCAAGGGCCTTTGCAGCTAAAGGCACACCCCCACACTTCTTCACTATCTCCTTCCCAATGGCCACAAGGTTTGGATGCTCTTCATTCCCGTGTCCAAATGCTCGTTGCCTGAACAACATCCAACAATCATCTTCAGATAAAAATGGCAAGTGATGGGGTGGGATAGTTCCCATGATTGATGCAACCTTTTCAAGACGAGTAGTGACGATAATGGAAGTGCCTTTTGATCCACATGCTAGTAAATATTTCAACCCATCCCACTTCTCTTGATCTTCGTCCCACGCATCATCTGATACAAGCAAATATCTTTTTCCATCCAACATCTCGCGAAGGTTTTTCTGCAGAGAATCTAGGTCTGAGGTTTCACATGCTTTCCCAGATATGGATCCTATTATTGTTTTTATCACACTTTTCACATTGAAATCCTGAGAAACATAAACCCAAATTTTAAGCTCAAAATGCCGTTTTACCCTCTCATCGTTGAAGGCCATTTGGGCAAGTGTTGTCTTGCCAAGCCCCCCCCATACCAACCATAGGGTAGACAGAAACATCTTGGCGATCGCATACTTGCTCAACCAAGATTTGGACAATCTTTTCGTTATCTTCTTCTCTTCCATAAAGCTGTGGTTGAGTTAAAGCAGAGCATGTTTTGCGTATTTCAGCAAATTCAACTCGCTGCTCTACAACCACCTCAGTTAAATGAAAATTCTATCGCTCTTCGACAATTGCATTTAAGTTCTCCGTGACATCTTTTATCTTATTCCCTATCTTGTGACGGAACACGATGTTCTCAACAGGATAACAAGTGAACAAAGAAGTGCTTACCTTCCTCAGAGAAACAGAATTCTGGTCATTAGATCTCCATCGGAGAGCTTCAGTTGAGCACTCATCCAAGATGTCGTCAACCTCGTAGGCTGCATCACTGAGCTTTCTCAACCAATCCTGTATTGCTTTGTTTTGGTGTTGCTTTTGGTCAGCATCTTCGAGGATAGCCTGGATCGTGGAGAGAGTGCTTAAAAGCTTTTTCATCTCCTTTTCAATCCCACAAATCAAGCCCATTTCCTTTTGGATCAAGGAGTTGAGATTCTGAAGCACAAAAGGAAGAAATGAGGCAGTCATGGTCACCTGCTAGCTAGATATCTGAATTCAATTCAAAGGTAAGCTCTCAAAATTGCAGATGCTTTGCAAAAAAAAATGGTGAGAATGACCAGAGAGGTGATGTATCAAGAAAAGAAAGGTTTCATGATACAATAATTAATTGTGCAAGTAGACAACTTCGCCGAATACTCTGGAAAAACAAGTGCCTAGTTAGGAACTTACTCATATACATCGTTTACATGCCTTCCTGTGTGAGTATAAATTCATTCACACAATGTCAACAAAATACATTTCTTTTTTTAATTGAATCAGTGGAGTGTTTCCATAAATAATGTGAGATTGACTAACGACAGTCTTCCATTAATTAAATCAATGTAACGGCCTCGCAAACAATGTGAAATTGACTAATCATACTTGTCTTCCTTTTGGTAAAGACTTCACAAATACAGTGAACACATGGGATGGGGGTAGTGGCTGATTGAGGGGTTCGATGAAACTGCGTGAGCCCCTTCATCTTCATTTTCCTAGTAATATTAGAGAATGTTTGAGATAATCTAAATAAATATATTTTTAAATTTTTTATAAAAAAATATGTAAAAAAATAAATAACTGATGTAACTCAAAAAAGATAAAAAAAAATATGTTAATGTAAAGATGCCAAATAGTGCCTCATTATTCACCAAAGACAAGAGATGGCAATAACAAAGAAAATGTTTAAAACAATTCATGTCCATTATCTTTACTTCGAATTCACTAATGCAATTCATGCATGTTATGAACTAAAAGTCGAACAATTGCCAAAAGAATAATTTAGAATCAGGAAGTCCCATCAAATGCTAAGCCTTAGCAGCCTGTAGCAGTTTCTTCCATGATGAAGTACAATAAAAATCAAGAAAATTTCCCATTGCATTCAACCAACTCCCACAGTGGGTTAAAACGAAGTGGATACTGAGATGAGAAAATGATTTTCAAAACAGGCATACAAAATTCTAAATTTACTAACTTAGATGAAAATAAACATCACAATGAGTTCAAATAGACCATGCTAAGTAGTCCCTCAGTGTCTCTCACCACAATTCTTGCTTTCCAATCAAAACAACTACCCTAGCAACCTAAAACAATTTAAAACCACTTATTTGCTCCATTTAACTAAAGCATCACTATAAGCCTCATACAAATGAGCATCATCAAGCTTTCAGTTTATACGCGTCGTCTCTTTCGAAGTCGGCATCCGTTGTGGGGTTTCCGAGTTGTGTCCTCAATGTACACTATGGGATTTTGATCACCTCGAGAAAAGGTAAAGCCCTCTCTGAAGCTCACGATTGCTTGCTTCTTTTTCTTGAAATAAGTGAATCCGTTCACTTTCATTACGACAGACTTCAGTCCCAAATTCCTTACTAGCCGGCCAACATGTTCTGCAGTTGCTTCAGCAGCATATCGAGAAAGTTTAGGCCCTCCTTTCATTTCTGACAAACATCCCGAGGAAGCCCCAATTTTTTTGTTCCCCTTGGAATCTGTCACAGTGACAAAGGTATTGTTGCGAAGCAGCTTTATATGGACAATATCTGCATTGTTCTCAACAACATACCGAGAAAGTTGAGAACTGCCCATAACGCCCTTTCCTTCTTCCTCTATTATTCCCCTCACAAAATTCATGGATCTAGAGTTCCTTGCTGTCTCAAACTCCTTATGACTTGAAGAATGTATGAAATGCCTAAAACTTGCTCCCAAGATTTGAGGTACAACATTGTGATTAGCTGCAGCTGAAACATCGCTATGGAGATAAGACCTGCATTTCAAATCTCCCAAACCTGCAAAAGCCAAAAAAATTTCATCACTACCCAAGTGAACACAATTTCTCCAAGGAAAATCCAAACAATTAGCATTTGCCTTATTCCCACACCAACTTCTCACATGGGTTCATGAGAAACCTAATTAGCATCCTCCACCTAAGTGTTTAAGATAAAAAGGCAGTGAGGTCACAGTCACATACCCCAAACAAACTGAAACCATCAATATGCTACTCGTAAGTTCAAAAAGCAGGAATTCATTAAGTGACCGAGGCCATTTAGAAATAATCACAACCATCTCCGATATAATTTGAAATGGCAATACAACCATTCTCTTCAATAATGTTATCTCATTTAATGCTACATAATTTTAGAATAACCAGCCAGTGTCGTCACATTCACTTGAATCTTATTCAGACTAGATTCCAAGGCCATGTTATTCAACAAAATTGACGGATTTTTAAATCTTACAACTAATAATGCCAAAATATACATATAATTAGAATTATATAATTTCATATCTATTGCAAAACAGACAAAAACAAGAGGAAATTATATATCTCATAATCTCACTAATTCAACTAAATAACCAATCCTACACTAATCTCATTGATTGTTAATCCCCTCACTATTAATCCAGCTAATCAAACACACTCTTCTTCTTGTACATTCCAAAGTCAAGAGTTCATTACAATGGCCAGGATAATCTACAAAAATCACAGCCGTCTCAAATATGATGAAATTTGAAATGCAATAGAACCGTCATCTTTAATGGAGTCTAATCAAATGCTATAAAAACACACAAAAAACAATAGAAATGTTAATAAAGAGCATCCAAAAACACCCCATGAAACAATATGTTGGGTAATTAGCTATCACTGTATTTCTTCAGTTGCATATCTCCATATTACTTCTGTTTCAAAAGCTTTTTTTTTTTTTTGATAAGACAAATTATCTCAAAATGGGTTCACTCTATAGACCTATTGGCAGCATTTAACACTCTGGTAGGTAACTGAGAAAACAATGGACGAACAGAAACTAGATTCTAGACAACAAATTAACCAAACAAAGCACAAAGACAACATATAGCTTTCATGAGATTAAAAAACAGAGTTGAATAAAGACAAAAGTTTAACCAAACACAGACTTGCCTGGAACACCATATATTTGTGGGATTCGAAAGAGGGACCGATGAGTGAGGGTCTTGAAAGGGGTTTCAGATCTGGGGCTGAAGACTTGAATAGCTCGATCAAACAACCCTGGGCGGCCCGAGAATCTCAGCATGGATCAGTAACCGATCATGGCTCAATGGTTTCAGATTCAGACTACGCTGCTTTATCACACACACAGAGAGAGAGAGAGAGAGAGAGAGAGAGAGAGAAGAGGGGTACTTTTAGGGCTGGTGGTGGTGATGATGTGTGAGTAGTCGGGAAGGTTCAGTGTTCGATTCTTTCTAGCAGCACCATATTCGCATATATATGGTAAAATCTTCAAAAAATACAAAAATAACATTGCAGTAGGTGAAATGCGGAAATTCTAATTCACACCCTTCTAAAAATGATTTATGATATAATGCATCTCTAGTCATATTATTTTTTTATGAGGAAATTAATTTAAGATCTCTCTTTTATTTTTAATAATAGAAGAGATTTAAAATATTATTTTATGATATATAAGGTCTTTCAAATCAAATTGCCATCTCTTTCTATTTCTTTGCTCTTCTCTCTCTGACGAACTCTATCTCTATCGCCGGAGTTCATCGTCATCGTTGTCGTCGTCTTCTCCAACTCTCTCTCCTCCATCAAGTGAAGCTCAAGGCATCCTTATCCATGAACGATTTTACTGATCTAGAACAGATCATTATCTCCGCCAATAGAAACTCTCTCGCCAAAAGCCCCACTAAAGCTGTTGTTACTGTTGCCTCTGCTGATCCCTTGTCCTTCTACACACACGCTCTAGAATATATATATATATATATATAAATATATATAAAAGCTCGATTCTTCATCTCTTCTTTGGAAAGTTCATAATTGATCGCCAATTTTGTAATTGAGCTTTAGTAGGGTTAGGGTTTTTTTTCGATGGTGTTGGGTAATTCAAAGGGTTCTCGATGCTCGCAATCTTTGGGCGTGGTGTCAAACCATTTGATTGCTATTTTGAAAGGCGAAGAAGGAGATTCTATAGACTACATGGAAGATTTTTTTGATGAAATTAGTACTCCTTTGATTATAGAGACCACTATTGAGATTATTATGGCGATGGAAGCATATCATTTGCCAGAGAAATTTGCAAATCTGATAAATTTGTGCAAACTAGAGAAATTTTAATTTGAAGACTACTACTGAGATTATTATGATGATAGAAGTATATCATTTGCTAGAGAAATTTGTGCAAACCAAAGAAATTTCAATTTGAAGACCACTATTGAGATTATTATGGTAATAGACGCATATCATTTGTCAAAGAAATTTGTGCAAACCAGATAAATCTACAAACTAGAGAAATTTGTGCAAATCAGAGAGTGGGGAGTCCAGAGAAATTTGGAGAGAATTTCTCTGGGAAGTCCAGAGAAATTCTCTAGATTGAAATTTCTCTGGATTGATGTGTGAGGGACCTTAGACATTATAAAAATATTGGATGTTTTTTATACTATAAAATCTTAATACCAGTGACCCTAAAAAAATCCCTTTTTTTATTTAGTTATGATCAATTTTTTTTCTTTAGTTATGAAATTTTTTTTGTATGTCAATAGGGTGCTACATGGCATTACCTTCCACCAATCATGAATGTACATGCCCTTACTGTTTTCCAAAACCCAACATAAATGTAATGCATCCTACTGTCAAAGCCAATCACAATAGTAGAAGGTACCACATATCATATATTCTATCCGTATACAAAAATTACTCTTAGTTATGACATTATTTTAGTTATAATTTATGGGTTCTTTAATTATGCCTCATGCTGTGTTTAATTATGACAATTTTTCTTTCTTTTTTTAGTTATGATTCAGAAAATTGAAATTATGACATTTTTCTTTTTAGTTATAAGATGCATATGGTACACATCTTTTGAAAAGTATGCACCATAGTATTTTCCAAATGATACATAAATGATAACATAAAATAAATCAAATTACCCTCTTGAAATTTATTTAAAATATAAATTATCTTTGTAATTTTAAAAATTATATTTCGTCTTTTGAAATTTTTACCTTCATAACAAATAATTCATTCTATTAATAAACTA